ATGGCGGAATGAAAGTTGGCGCCGAACTCTCGCAAATAGGCAAACAATCACGACCAGAGTCAGAGCGGAAGCCGGAAACCGTTCGGAGAAATAAAGATATGCACTATTTCTCCGAACGTTCGGAGAAATAGTCACTTCGAAAAAATTTACCCAAGCCCAAGACACTAGATCTATAATATATAACAATCCAATCAAGCACGCATGGTGTAAGTCTACTAGATCTATATATACAATCAATGCAGACTATTTGCCTTTCATCAAGGAAGTATAAAAGCTTCTGCTACGAATCAATATAATTTGCCAATGAAGAAACAAGTTTGAGTTCCTGAAGAAGTGGTTCCTGCTTCAAAGTGAGGAAACAGCCATACACATCTATAATATTAACGCCATGTTGTACCCAGTTACAAAAAGACACACCTTCTGAACCTTGACATTCGTTTGTAAACTACATTTCTGATTGATTTTTATCGAAATACGTTGATCATCCGATTAAATAAACACTGGGGAGGCTGTCAGCTGTCTTTGTTTACAAAATGTCAATTAAACTTCCCGGCATGGCTGCTGGTTGCCAGGAAAACTTTTTAAACGCATGTACCGAGTAAAGTTTTTTGGGTTTTTTTCCTGAAAAGAATTGCTGCCATACCACAGAATTCTACACTAAGTGTAGAATTCTGTGTGTGCCATACTTCTGTGTGTGTGTGTGTGTGTGTGTGTGTGTGTGTGTGTGTGTGTGTGTGTGTGTGTGTGTGTGTGTGTGTGTGAGAGAGAGAGAGAGAGGGGGGGGGGGGGGGGGAGTGAATGAGTTACTAAATTTGTATATAAAAAAGACACTTGTGTGCCTCACAAAATGGCTTAGATCTCGTTTTTACACAATTTTGATTAGATACTAGATATCTAGATAAATCTAGATCTAGAGAGAATCTACTTCTACTGATGCAGAAAGAGATTGTCTTGAATATTATTTTTTTTACGAAAACAGATTTGGCTAAACTAGATCTACCTAGAATCTAGATCTAGAGAATCTAGATCCAAATCTATATAAGATGTCTACAAAAGAAAGTTTCCTTTTGATAGAAACTTCAATATTTTAATCACTCCCCAAAATCAGAGTATTTGATTTACAGCTAAAGTGTATAAAAAGGTGAACACCACGTGTTCTTTTCCGTTATGATAGACTCAAAAGAAGTTGAAGATTTGAATGCACAAAGTCAATAATTACATGTATTAAATATCAACTGAACGCATCTTAAAAAATGTCTTTCTCACCTTCTGAATCTTGATTGATACACTCGTTTGTAGTTTATAGAATCAACTTAATTTTTAATAAAGTTGACCATCTACACACTCTTATACAAGCTAAGGCTGTACTTTGATAATTGATTGAACTTTCCTTGTTTGTTTACGAAATGACAATCAAACTTCGCGGCATGACTGCTGGTTGCCAGGTAAACTTATTTAAAGCATGCAATATTTAATCTTTGGGTCAAATCAGAGTGAATTTAATTATATTTAAGAGTCTCTGGTCAAATAGTATAAGTACCGGTCTCTGCGCAGTGGGCAGCAACGTGTGCCGGATAGAAATCCCTATCTCACAGCCGCACTATGGTCAAACTGTGCCGCGCACTGCTAGACTCGTGCACTGATAGCTATAATAGGTCAATAATGCTTATTAGGCCTATATGTCTAATGGTCCAATCAGATGCTTCCACTGTAAATGGTGTAGCTAGCTTGTTTTCCATTGCGGGTTAAAATTAAGTACCAAGCAAACATATTATTATCTTGTTGGGACAAGATCAAACAGTCCAGGAGTCTAGGTATCTACATTTCGTGTTTCCATTAATTAGCACCTCGATATAAGCTTTAGCTCAATTAGAGGGATTTTATGTTTTGTAACCCATTATTGATATTATTACTATTGTCTAGATCTAGAATCTAGATCTAGACGTAGATCTATAGATATCTAGCG